GACACGACTGACAAGAAAAACATCAGAAATGAACCTAATTCAGTACCACTTATGAAAAAGATCCAGATCAAGTTAAAATTTGCTTTTGTCATGTTTAGATTGTCATAAAACCATCAGAWATGGATCATTTCTGCCTGTAGTGTGGATGTAACTTAAGAGAGTGACATGAACAATAAAACAGCTCTTAGTTTTACAATCTGCTTTTATTCACAAATAAATAAAATAACCCGTTAGAAGCAGCAAAAACATCAGTCGTTTAAACTCACATTTGCTTTGACATTTTGTTGAAGTGTTTCCCCTGCTGATAATTGTCCCTGCAGATGTACAAAAGCTCAAACATGCAATTAGCAATCAAGGTATGTGTTTAACCTCAGCCCACTGACAGATTTAATGCTATCATTTTTGTTGTTTTATTTGAGAGAACAAAATCCTAGCCTGCAACCGTAAACAAGACTGAATTGTTCTGCATAAATTCAATATATAGACGATGGGTAGATGATCAGTTAATACGGACGTTTCAAGTGGATTTTACAAATTCTCCTGTGTGCCATGCTCACTAAATCTGTTGTTGCAAAAAGCTTTGAATCAATTGGAAATGAAACAACAGAATTACAGCACAGAGAAACCACTGTTTGCATCTAGTTTACGCTACAAACACGTCTTACTTCGATGTCTTGATGAATAAAAATACCACTTATGAGCCCCGCAAAGATTCAAGTTTTTTTTCTGCAWTAGGTACTAATAGAGAACACAGAAAGCTCCATTTTTCAATAATACATAACATTAGGTTTTAACAGACGCATCAAGCTTCTCAGATGAGAGGTAGGCATCAGCACACAGTTACAGAGAGCACGGCAAAGCCACTTTATTTTACATTTCAGCAGTAACCTTATGGCATCTTATTCACAGGGGTTTACAGACAGGAGCATGGAGGCAGTGTGAGGAACTTCGCATTCAGACCGCAAGAGAAACCGCTGCACTTTCTGCACACAGGCAGATTGGAGGAGGCTGGTTGTTAACTGTAGCACTGATGCAGGAGCAGCACACACAGAAAATTGGCTGTTTACAAGTGGTGTCATCCAGAAGTTCAGTTCTGCTCAAAGCCAGCCTTCTCCCCAATTACAGATAACAAGCTAACATACAGCATGTCTGAGGCTGTTTAGGAAAAAAAAAAGTGTCTTGGGTCGCCTCAGGTGTGAACAGAAGATTTTGTTTGTTTCGTACATCAGAAAAAACKAAATCAGCTCGACAATAAAATCAGTGCTGGTTTTATCTCTGAAAGGGAGCAGGATGTTATGTTTGTTTCCTGATTTTTTTGAACTCACAAATGTGTTTTTGTGCTTTTTTTCATGTCAGAGTGCTGGTATACCTGCTTTTAAAAAGGGTAATTTTAATACGAGGACCATTAGTCCAAATTTAAAAGTGTTGAGCAGCCTTTTCCCATCACTTTTTCATTATTTTAATGCCCTGTTTGGTGTTACTCATCTATATTCCAGCTGAATACTGTGCTGCTGATGAACCTCAGATAAGTCCTCCATGTCTTCCTCAGGAACAGATTTTATCAGGACGCTAGCCTGCACAACCTGAAAGCAGCACATTTTATCAGTTTTTATTAGTAAACATGTGTGAGCTTCATAAAGCCACCTCCCAGAGTTTCTGTCTCACAACAAAAAGAAAAAGTCTTCTTTCTCTTGAAGCCGTCTTTCCTGACAGTATTTTAAGATCAGCCTGTTGAGAGCTGATGGAGTTGTAGCCTTTTTAGTCAAAATAATGCACAATATTTCCTCAGACGATGACTGACTCTAAACCAATGTTTCCCAAAGTTGGGGTCCGGACCCAAAGTGGGGTCCCGAAACATCAAGGTGGGGTCC